CACTTCCACCGTAAACACGCTCATTCTCAGTGAATCATCTTTATCTATGAAATACTTCTCACTTTCATAAATCACCTTTTTATTGGAATCAAAGAGTCTCATTTTCCCCCGAACTTGTTTCACGAATCCATCAAGCCACTTCTTCCTCTTCTTTGCCTGTGGACACTTCGAATACGTGCATTCCTTCATTATGGGCGTCATTTATCATTTTTCACCATTTTTACCCCGACCATCATCGTAGGACTCCTCTAATGAGATGTCCTGGAAGTGTCCAACACGATGCAGCCGTAAAACAGCCAGTCATCTGATGATTCTGGTCACCTGTGCTGCAAACACTTTAAGAATGACATTTTGAAACAGTCATTTTAGAAGACCCTATGAATCTCCTTCCCCCACTCATATAGCCACTCACCCCACTTTTTGGTGTTGTGGCTGAGTGGTTAAAGCGTTAGTCTAGAAAACTAATGGGATCGTCCCGCACAGGTTCGAATCCTGTCAACATCGTTTTTATAATACAGTAACTGTCAATATAAGTATGAATGTGATTATGAATATATTCCCTCCAATATTCTAATCTGCCTACTTCACTAACTACCCATCTCTTACCACCTACTTCACCACCCACTTCATTATGTACCTAACTACCGTCACTATTCCAAAACCAAATTAAAACACTATAAAACCAAGCACAAACCAGGCCCAAAAATATGGCAATCGAACACTCTCAAACTGATCCATCCTCTGAAAGAGTGACGTTCACGATTCCAAAGCACAGCCATCACCCGCTGAACTTCATCTACAACACGCTCCGCCTGAAGAGCGCCCTTCTCTCCCTGGGCCTGGCAATGACAAAGAAGCCCCAGGGAATTGAGATCAAAATGGCCCCAGAACACGTAGGCCGCTTCACGAGGGAGTTTGTTGGAAGCGTCCTCAACCAAACTGAGATCACCCAAAACGAGATCGCCTCCAACAACAGCACCATCCTCCCAGTGAGTCAAACTCGCCTTCTTTTTGTGCTCCTGAACTACCACGATGAAATTGGATCATTTCTGGCTGAGTACCGGAGTCGCCTTGTTGTTGGCCACGACGAGATCGCCCTGGTCTCAGAGCGCATCTGCTGCCAGAAGGTCGTTCTCTACAAGTTCAATGAGATCTACCACAAGGTGTACGAGATGGAGACTGATTCAGAATGGGCTATTGGTGATAGAGGCAGAATTATAGTGGCAAATGGGTTACAGGGGACCAAATACGTAGGAGAAGTTGAGGATATGACAAGGGGGTTTGCCACTGATAACAGGGGTGAAATCAGCAGCCTAACTACCCCTAGTGGCAACTTTACGGTTACTTTTACGGTGGACCAGGAAACAAGTGGATTTCTGTCTGGCAAGAAGTACGGCAAGACAAACAAGATCATGCGCGAGACTGGGACTACCGTAGAGATATCCCCTGAATCATCCACCACTCGCTACACAATTCGTGCTACTCGTGTCCAAAGTGTGTTTCATGCGCTTGAACTAACAAATGAGGAGTATCCGAGCTTCCTGCTCTTCTCAGTCGACTCGCGACACCACAAGAAGATCATTGGGACGTCTGGCCGCCACATCCAGCGCATTATGAAGAAGTACGACGTCTACGTGAAATTCATGAACGAGAAGGAGGCTGAGCTCTACCCTGAGAACGTGATTTGCAAGACGCCTTGCAAGAACAGTGGGAATCTGAGGCTGATTCAGGCTGAGATTCAAAGAGAAGAAGGACGTGGATGTGACACCGAGGCATTTGAGGATGGAACAAGTGTAGTAGAGAAAGANTGGGACGTCTGGCCGCCACATCCAGCGCATTATGAAGAAGTACGACGTCTACGTGAAATTCATGAACGAGAAGGAGGCTGAGCTCTACCCTGAGAACGTGATTTGCAAGACGCCTTGCAAGAACAGTGGGAATCTGAGGCTGATTCAGGCTGAGATTCAAAGAGAAGAAGGACGTGGATGTGACACCGAGGCATTTGAGGATGGAACAAGTGTAGTAGAGAAAGAGGTGCCCAAGATATGGGAGATGATAGTGCAGAAGATATACTTGTAGTGGTAGTAATATTATTACTACAATAATAATGTTACCACTTATATTGCTACTTACAATACTACCTATATTATTACTACTATACTATTACCTATACAACCACCCCTGTTTTCCTACTACTTTTTTCACTCTTTTTTACCCCAATGCCAGTAAAGAGACAAAATCACGGTCGTAGCAAAATGAATCGTGGCTCAGTCAGCACAGTCCAATGCATCCAATGCGGCCGCGTCTCGCCCAAGGACAAGTCTGTTTCGCGCAGCAGCAACAGCCCCGTGGTCGAGGCTGCCTCGATGGACGATCTCCGCCTTGCGACAGTCTACGCCGAGCCAGACGTGCCAACCTTCTTCAACATCGACACGTATTGCAT